ACATAAACATACTTGAATACACATATCCATTTTAATTCTAGTTCTTGAAAAATAAATTATTCCAAATTAAGTAATCATGATGAAGTATATCACTTTTTATTTCTTTTCACATCCCTTATAATCAACAACTCATAAATAATCGAAATGATTGAAATCGCCTAAGATAATTAAATTTCCTTACTGATTATTACCATACCATTCCCTTTTATTTATTGTGCCAACTATATCAAATAATTCAACATATAAATTGATAATTAAGTGGTTATATCATCTATCACTTTGAATGCCTATACATAAACAACCTGTGAAATCATTAAAGTTTGTTCAACTCTTAATAGGTTAAATACACTACAATTTTAATCCAACAACTAATAACACTTTCTACCCATCAAATCATTGCAACTATCATATTTACATACTAGTCTTTTATGAATCTGTTAAAAATATCTTCGTATCATTTTTGGTTCCATACATTCGAGCTTGAGAGCCTGTGATTTCTGCCACCACGACATGTGACCATAAGCACTGAATATGTAAGATATGCCAATGCATGAACTAACAAGACTTTCAAAACTTTATAAACCATTCTCTGATACCACTCTAACACGACCCGTCCCAAATCACCATAGTGGACTCGAAACGGGACGTGCGTCGATGATAGATGCTGATTAGATGTCAAATCTACTACCAAGGCTGACTATGAGTTATTTCAAAAAAATGCAACAAAATCAAATACTTATGTAAAACATAATGCGATGGGCCCAAATTATTTACTTTGTACTTCATCAAAATGAGTTATAATATTCAACATGTCGTGTAGCTCTCATTCCGAAATCATTAGGCTCTTCCAACTAAAACGAATCAATTTCTAATTGTAGGAAAATTACGGGAAAATATATGAGTTGATAGCTCAGTGAGTGAAGAAGTTCGAAAATAATTATACTTTTTCATTTTTACATTTTTATCAAAAATTGAGTTCATTTCATTGATAACTCGCAAGATAACACCATATAATTATAGTCAAAACATGAGACATTCATATAACGTGATAAAATATCATCTCAAGTCATGATATAAATATAAGCTAATAATCATGCTATAATCTCATCATATCAAATGTACTAAAAAATTCACCAAAAATGTACCCTCTGACTAAAACCTGTAATCCGCCTTCAGGCTAAGAACTTTTGTCACGAGCCTTTGGCCCCTCCGTGAATGAAAGCGGGTCTCAAGACCTCTGATAATCAATTTTAGAACATGGTCAAGGCCCATCAGTAAACTATATATACACGGTCAGGACCCCTTCATCCCCAGTCGACCCCGCGGTGTAGTCTAGAATACGGCCAAGGCCCCTCTATGAACTAGAAAAAGTACATAATTATGAGTACTTTTTTGATTGATCTCAATATCACGTCTCACATACCAAACAAATCTCAATATCACATGTTTCATATACTAAGTCAATCCTTGGAATTCCACATGTATCATAATAAAAGAGATTTTCATAATAATCATGTAATTCGAACATATAATTGCACATACTTTAACAATATACTTAATTTATAAATATTTTAAAAATATTTATATTTTTCCACTCACAGTATTATGTTCACAAAATTAATCCAGTTGATAAGCTGTTCTGATGTTAGTATCGTCGCCTCAAATACGATATAATTTTTAAATAAATAATTAATTATTTTAAATAATTTCAATAATTAAATAAACGATATTCAAACTTAATCATTTCACGTTTAAGCGATTTCTACAGTCTCTTTAATCACTAAAACTTGTTTTTCTTTCACTTTACTCAATTTCATAGTTTATTATACTTAACCCTTTCAATAAAATTGAATTTAGTCTAAAAATCTAACAACTATAAAATTAAACATAACCTTTCAATAAATAACTTTTTACTTACCTTTCAAAATTGAGGAATTCAAGTCTAATAGTATAACCCACTTAATTCCTAACACATTGGCGAATCTTCATTTTTTCTTCTTCTTTTTTTTTTCCCTCTTTTTCCTTTCTCTTTTCTCTGTTTTTCTTTCTCTCTAGTTTGTTTCCTTCGTGTGTGTAGTGTATGTGTGTGTGTTTGTTTTTTTTTTTTTTGATATCCAGGTATCCATTTTACAGTGACTAAATTCCGAAATCTACACCTTGGCCCTTCAAACTGCAGACAGGTTAAACCGCAAGTTGTGCCCCAAACTGACTAGTGCTCAAGAGCCCCCCCAACTGATCTGCCAAAGTGTCAAACAAGTCGTTTCCCATCTTTGCACCTTGCCTTCCAATAGAACTCATGCCTTCCAGGAAATATCTGATTTCCAAGAGCCTTCCATGAATTGAACTCACGACCTCTGATCTGCCAGCTTTGAAGCGCCTTCATCTTTGCCAGTTGGGATGTGCCCTGGAGGGCATGTGTGTGTTTGTTTTTAATTTGATTTTGGGTGGTCAATCCAATTCCACCCCTCACTTTATTCTTTTTCTCTTTTTTTTTTTTTTTTTTTTTTTTGGGGGGGATTTTTCCTTTTTTTTTTTTTTTTTTTTTTTTTTTTTTTTTTTTTTGGGGGTGAAGTTTGACTTTTCTTCATTTTTTTTTTTTTAAATGTATTACACAATTTGTTTATGGGGGCAAGCTGCCCACTTAACGCCCTCCTTGCATGTGTTAGTGTGCTTTCAAAGGACATAACGAGCCGGTGACTTACCTTAAATACATGTTAGCATAAGGTATTAAATAAATGAGGACCATCTCAATAATTCTTTCGAGGAATAATGGTTTAGTGGTACAGAATAGTTGCAACATAAAACGCTTAAGAAAATAAATGCCTAACATATTTTTTAAATTCAAATTCATTTTTAAATACATAATATTCAATAAAATAATTTTATACGTTTTCATTCTTTTTAATCACTCATTAGTTAAAATAATATTTTCACTAAATTTATTTTCAAATAATCTACTTCAAAAAAAAGTAAGTAGGAAAAAACAATCTCTCAGTCCCATTCACAAATCATCCCCACCTGCTGCCAACAATTCAGACACCAAATCCAAACAACATACGGTTTAAGATGTCCACATTTCCCTATGACCTCTGCCTCTGCCCTTGTTGGAGCTCCATTTTAACGTGCTTTTAGGAGAAATTGTATTTTGAAATACTGATTTTTTAGAGAATGCGTGACTAAAAAATAAAGAAAATTTTTAAATTTATGTGTAATATTATTTTATGAAAGGATATGTATTTGAAAATGAGTTTTAGAAAAATCTATTTTGAAAATAATGGAACACAAAAACGGGCTATATACATAACTCTCTCTCACACACACATGAATACATAGAGACAGTCATAGGCCTGTTACATCCAGCTTTAAGTAGAACACAAATTCATGACATCTCACTGTCTCGCTTTCTCCCTTCTGCTTTCCTGCACGGCCCCAAAACCAGCAAACTCAACACAACTTACAAAATTTATAAATGAGAGAGAAGGAACCGTACAGCTCAAGATTCTTCTGTAACTATTACAACTCACACAGTTGCATAAAACAAAACGCCAGCAATTAAAACCAAGCTCAGATTTTTATTGACCTTAATTCCCAACCACATAGCTGTTTCGTTCCTCTTCATGTAGCAAGAATATTAAAACGAAAACTTAATACATGCATGCAATACACAATAAGAAATAGATCTCTTATCCGCGGTGAGCAAGATAAGATTATCCACTTGTTGATGTGTGAGGTTCTTTTCAGAGTGGGTAATATAACACTTTTCACCGTAGAAAGAAGTGATACACAATATAGGTTGATTGACAGTTGTCCATCAAAATAAATATGCAGTAAGATTAATCATCGTAAAGTCAATGTAGCAGAAAAAATTATGCTTAAGTTTAAAGAACACATTATTTTCTGTCTGCCAAGTGCTAACCATATTCTGTCTACCAAGAGCAAAAAAAATAGCATCAAGACTAGAAGAAATGATTGGTTGAACTGCCATGATCTGATATGACGAAGAAAGAGTCTCATTGTAAATACAGAAATAGCAATTGTATCCCTGCTTCTTTTCCAGGTGAGGTGACAAAAAAGATGCAGAAAGGTAGATTGATAGATTGAATAGAAAAAGAAGCTAGGGAATCGAGGCTCTGATTCATTTCTGCCTTTTAACTTTTATCCCCATCGGTAATTATATGTGTCCTCAAGTGTCTGTCCAGTAAAAGTTGCTGCATCCTAGTAAAAATCAAACTTTGAAAACCATATCCCAGTTTCCGTGATAGTCATGAACTACTTTAAAAATGAGATTTGAGAATTCTTTGTAGTCTCTTAAGGTACACATACTCTTGGTCGGGGTATCGTGTTGGCCCTAATCTTTTTATATTGTTTTCTACATCATCTTGCCGCTGTATGTAGGTCAAGTGCCTAGGCACATAAGTATGTACTTCCTCTTTTTATATTTCGACTGAAAATTATAATTACAACGCACATGTGATATGAGATTTGAACCCTACTATATGTACAGGGGATTTTGTAGGGTTCGTTGTCAGGACATTTGTCAATTTGCATTGGCGATTGGCAAAAAGAAAAAACGAAAAGGAAAAACTGCCAATCGGTGCTGCCCTGTACACTGCCTGGACAAGGGGAATAACTGATGAGATTTTTTGCTAGTGAAAATATCACCACATAATGCAAGTGCAAGAATATCTGTCTGAAAGCATTAATGTATGTCTATGAATATATATACTGTATCCAAGCAAGAGAAAAGGAATATGACATCACCTTGAGTTAATCTGATTGTTTTAGATTCACCCTCTTAACCCCCGCACCTCATCCCACCAACCTATAAGAGAGTTACATTAATTCAACAAGCAAATGAATATTTATTGAGGGAAAATTTTCAGTAGCAAGGCTTCTTTAATTTTTGAGTTTCATAATATGTTGAAGAATGGACAGCAGTTTTGTGGGGTACCACGAAAAAGTTAGTGAGTCAGCATTGGTCCTTACCATAGTATCTGTTACCCCAAGCTGGAGCTTGAGATTGCCAGCTTGCATTTCTGAGAACTTTTGGGGGAAAAAAGTAAGCAATTTTAAGTTTTTCACACAGAAATCCAAGACTTCTCTTGACTGCAAGCGTGATTCTAAAAAATCCAATGAATCATCGTTTCAGACCTACAGTCATGCCTCATTAATCCAAAGGGAGACTTCTGTTCGATCAAATTATGCCAAATGAATGTTACATAAGCCAGGTCTGAGGCATCTCTAAAGGGGACTGTCTCACTATACAACTGTTTTGCTTTCTTCATCAAGGAAAACATCAACGCTCTACGAACCAGATGGCAAGTTCATTTGCAGCTATAATTGGAAGCGTAGGAGGGGCATTTGCATTGTTAGGAACAGTGATTTTGTTAACATGGCTTTGTGTGTTACAGTGCAGAAAGTTCTCAAACAAGAATTCAGATACAGCTTCTTCAGATCCATCTGCAGTAGGTAATGTTTCAAGATTCGTAAAGCCCTTTTTCTTGGACTTTTTATAGCCTAATCATACTCGGTATTCATACGTGTGTCAAATCGCCTTAATATTCCAACTACAAAAAGAATTTATTAAATGACCATTTATTGTATTTACGAGAGAGTCATGGGGGGAAAAATTCTTATTTATAGTTATATTAAAAATCAGTCTCTCAGGTTGAGGGTGCACCACTTTAAATATAAATTTTTTTGTTCACATTTTCCCATTATTATTGCTAATTTCTGCTCAATTATGACAGTAGAGTCAAAAAGAGGTGGAACCAGCTCATCTGCAGCCCCACCTGCAGCTGGACAGCATGAAGCAAGGCAATTTGGAATTGAAGAATTGGAGCGAGCAACAAGGAATTTCAATGAGAGCAATCTCATTGGATGTGGAAGTTTTGGCCTTGTGTTTAAAGGATTGCTGTGTGATGGGACTGTTGTGGCTATCAAGAGGCGTAGAGGTGCTCCGAGGCAAGATTTGATAGATGAGGTATAAAAGAGCTGCAAAATTGGTACGCAGCATTCGATGAAATTGGGCAATTTTTTTTTTTTTTTTTTATAATACGTCTGAATTTCGCTATCATGGTAACAGGTAGCCTATTTATCACAAATTTGGAACCGAAATTTGGTTACTCTACTAGGCTTCTGCCAAGAAAATGGATATCATATGCTGGTTTTTGAGTATTTACCCAATGGCAACATGTGTAACCATTTGCACGGTATGAATCTCTCTTGAAGCTGTTCTTTGGTATGAATTATTGTATAAGATTAAACACTACAATGAACACGATTTTATCTAATTTTTTTCCCATAATAACTTACCAAATATGCCAAGAGAAATTTGTGGCATAACAACTTGTTTCATGATAGATACTGGAGAAAATTCAAGAACTACGCTAGAGTTCAAGCAAAGGCTATCTATTGCAATTGGTGCAGCCAAAGGTATTATCAGAGATATCAACTGTTTCTCTAATTGAATTTTAAATAAAATTCATTCTAAACGGTTTTAATCTCGACGTGGTTGTTCGGAAGAGCATTTTTTCTAGTTTGTCTAAGTTACGAATGACAAATAAATCGAAACACGTTTATTTTTATATTGCAGGTTTATGCCATCTGCACAGCCTATGCCCTCCTGCATTGCATAATAACTTTAAAACGGCTAATGTTTTGGTTGATGAGAATTTCATTGCCAAAGTTGCAGATGCAGGGATGTCAAAACTACTGGAGAAAATCGGAGATGCAAATCCATCGAGTTCCAATTTCAATGCTTTTAAAGATCCCGAGTAAGTACCACTATGCCAAACATGCATTTTCTAGTACCAGCATTCATTTATTATTTCTTGAATGAAGTTAGCTTTATCAACATCTGATGCATAATGTATCGAATGTTTAGGGTTGAACAAGTGGGTATTTTCTCTGAAATGAGTGATGTATACAGCTTTGGAGTATTCTTGATGGAGCTCATCACGGGAAGGGAGACTACTGATATGGAGGCCTTCGGATCAAATGAACGCGTACTTCAATGGGTATGTAGAGAACCTTTGATCATTTTTCCACTTCATAGATAATTTTAGGAGATAAGTCGAGAATAGTGGAGCATTTCGAGTAAAAGACAAGCTTAAAGCTTTCGTAAATAAGTAGTTATTCGGTAAGTATTTTTGAAAGGTTAGTGATGGATACGGTCGAGTAGATAAATAATTTCGAGGGACAAACCTTAAATGAGACACGGTGAACAAATAAAGTATGAAATGAGGCTTTCAAAGTTCAAATATACCTCCTTCCCTCAATTTTTAATTATTGATACTTCTACTTAACTGATTTAAGCTTTTGTAAGTACTTACCTTTCTTAATTTTAATAGGTCCAAATGCTTCTGAGTTCGAACAATTTAGTGGATCATCGACTGGCTGGGAGATTCACTGCAGAGGGAATGAGGGATCTTATAAAGTTGATGCTACATTGCATGAGGATTCCAGGAAAAGAGAGACCAAAAATGAAAAACGTGGTATTGGAACTTGATCGAATACTCGAGCAGGAGATTAGGCTCACAACAGTCACCGGTGAAAGTACTACTACTGTTACTTTAGGGAGTCAACTATTTTCATGGTAGGAGCTTGGGTATTGGATGCTACTGTATAGTACAATAGAGAAGATTGATACATCGTTTTCCTTCTAATCCTATTCAATATGTTCCCATCGAAGGTAAAAACATGCCCTAGGCGCATGAGAAAAATGGAAGAAAGTAGAGGTGATGTGTCATATTCAAGCTTATTTTTATCACAGTAAGTAGGTGGTGACCTGCTGTGATTAATCGTGTTGATGCATATTATTAGACACAAATAACCGGCGGAAAATATTTTAGCTTATTTTTCTTCTTTAATATTGTTCAGCACCACATAGTCAACTTTCTCGAACAAGCCATGAGAAGGAATCAAACTATATAGTTTGTTTCTTTCATTGTATAATATGTCAGCTCAACCCACAAACAACTTCCAGTTCCAATTTTCTTGACTTTTAAGTGACAAAATTCATTCATTTTATACTTTTTGTCCCAATTAGCTTGATTCTGTATGAGATGATTTCTTCGGTGTGGTATATTCGACAAATATACAAAGTGTTAATAAAAAAAGAAGTTAGAATCTTATCTACTATGGTGTACTGCATACACTTAGTCCGCTAACCTAATGAATGTATAGAATCGTTGAAAGGAAGTTATTGTAGGAGAAGACCGTCAATTTCTACGATGGATGGTTGGTGAGTGCTTTTCTATATTAAGATGTCAAAGGCTTCCTAACCAAACCCGTACAAAATTTTCTGCAGAATTTTCTCTCTCAAAATTGAAAGTCCCATATTTTGTTTTTATTAAGTAGAGGGTTATAAAGTGAGCATTGGCTAGAAGATTTGTTTGTAGTGTGTGAATTCATTTCTATTGCAAATTCTCAATTATATCTTGTTTAGTAAGGCTGGAGGAACGTATTATAGTCTCGTATATTTTTATATATATTTTCAAACGAAATCGATTAAAATTGTTTGAGAAAAACCTAAACTTGAACCAAACCACTTAAAATTGAGTGAGAAAACCTCAAACTTAAACCTAGCCCTAGCGATTTGGTTTGATTTTAAACCGCGATTTTGCCGTACCCTTTTTTTTTTTTTTTTTCATATTCTATAATATTATTACTGTGGAGGTTTTTGCTTATACTAGCAACTTTGCTGGTTTTCTTTTCTCTACAATCTGGTAGGTTTTAATGTTCACGTATGATCAAATAATTAATTTTACTAAACGGAAGGCAACGATCGTTTTTCTTTCTTTCCTCATGACTTGAAAAAGCTATCTTTCTTTTTTTCCCCCATTTTAAGGGCATTTTCATTGACTACAGCCCCCACAAGATTTTATGCTCCCTCTTTCTCCAACCAAGATCCTTAAACCATATGTCAGCACTGCACCAAAGACACTGCTCAAGTCACATTTTTTACTTTCTTTTCGTGTCATGTCACATTAACTCATAATATAGAATCGGCTACATAAATTTTTTTTCTATGTTCGATACTTTAGTTCACGAGTAGGGTGATGACTTAAATTGTTAATGTTCTAGTCTTAGCGTCTGTTTCTTCTCGACTTCGATTTTTTTATCTCTCGTCCATCTTTTGGATGTGCGACACAATCTTAATTGCATACTTTCTGATTTTTGAATAAAGCTAGATGTACATTTTAAGTTGACAAGGAGTTTGACATTCTCCAATGTGAAAGAAATCTAACAAGTGATTGGATGTTTGTGTTTAAAATCAATGATGTGACTGGCTACCACACGTAAGAATGTCAAACTTAATGTAATTCATAATGTACATGTAGCGTGATTATTGATTTTTATTGTCTGTAGTCCTCTTGAGAAAAAAAACCTAAAACTAAGCATCTGTCCACCTGACTTGTTATCCTCTTCAACCATCCAAAATGTGTCTCTTCCTTTTTTCAGGTCTTGAGCTTTTCAGCAGCAAAAAAGTTAAATATAATAAAAAAAAATTCTATATAATGGCCTTGCAAATTACTCCATTTTCTTAACATTTCACCAGTAAAAACAATCATATTATGGCTATTATTGTATATTTGAACTTTACTCCACGCTCTTCAGTAGCTCGTCGAAACCCCAAAACCCTACAAATTGGCACGTGGAGAATCAATGGGGGAGAAAGAGATTCAGATCAGACAGAAAGAAAGAATAAATGGGAGAAACCTGGAAGAAGACAACCAACAGAAGTAATGGAAATTCTAATTGGGAAGCAACGCCAATTTACTTACAACCAAATGACACCATTTTGAATTTAAATTCATTGTTTAGTTTAAAAAAAAAAAAAAACCGTCTTTATGCTTTCATTGATGAAACATGTTTCTTCACATTGTAGAGGAGGAACGGATATCAGCAGTTTGTATGGCAGTGGAGTAGGAGTTTTTGCAATCTGAAATTCAGTAAAATTGTTGGAGCATTTCAACAGCTTTCTCTTCCCTTTCTTATTTATCCCTTTCCCCATTCTATTTTCTATTTTGGTTAGTTTATAACTCAGTTAACCCAGCTGGATTTCATTCGTCTCTGTGTTAAGGCTATACTGAGGTTGTAGGTAGAGTCCGACCGTGGCAAAGATTCGAAAGTTGAAATCCCAAAAGTGTCCTACTACAGATCGACTGCACCCACTCTCTGCCGGCGGTGAAGCCACCACCTTTACATGCCTCATTCCTAAAGATGACTTCTTTATTGATCCCCTTCAGTCCCTGTCTGAGACAATTAAGCTGTCTGAATCTGAAACACTTGCACTCACTAGAACATGAAAATTTGATAAAAGGGGAGGGGTGTAAATCTGAGTTTGGTTCAAGAAATGGTGAAATTAAGGAAAACTCGTGTTTGGGCTATGACAGATTTGAGCTTTATGAGGTTGAGGATGTCAAAATAAACTGAATAAGACTCAATAAAACTCAATGCCTCCCATTGTGAGAGGTTCTCTCATTAAATAGAACCAAATCAAACTAAAAATGGTAAAAACAATGTATTTATATATGGTACAATATAATTATAATATAGTCATAATATTTCGTAACCTTCAATAATTTTCGTAATCTTTATTTAACCTCATTAACATTCCATCTCAAATTGATGCTTTTCTCAAATTGAAGCTGCTAAAAGCATCAATTTGCAATCTTGAAATGCGACGGTGACAATACTTGTGTCCACGGAGAAGAAATCCAAATTAGAGTAACCAACTATGAAAATTAGTGACGACGAGGGACCAAGAACAACAAAATAGTGCAGAAACAATTCCAAAGTCACTCCAAGAACACTCTAGAGTGTTGGAGGAAAAAGGGGTTTACTAACTTGGATTGACTAAGGTTTTTAAGGAGGACAACGCAAATAGGAAGAAGGAAGTGAACAGAAGTAAACAAAAGGAAACTTGTATTTCTCAATTTCAAGACTTACACACTTTTTGATACGACCCATCCTGAATCACCCTAGTGGACTCAAAATGTGACGTGCGCTGATGATAGATGCTGACTAGATGTCAAATCTATCACCAAGGCTAACTATAAGTTATTTCAAAAATGCAACAAAATCAAATGCTTATGTAAAATATAATGCGATGGGCCCAAAATATTTACTTTGTACTTCATCAATATGAGTTATAATATTCAACATGTCGTGTAACTCTCATTTCAAAATCATTAGGCTCTTCCAACTAAAAAGAATCAATTTCCACCTGTATAGAAATTATGGAAAAATATATGAGTTGATAACTCAGTGAGTGGAGAAGTTCGAAATAAATATAATTTTTCATTTTTACATTTTTATCGAAAATCGAGTTCATATCATTTAATAATTCACAAGATAACACCATGTAATTATAACAATAAGTGAAATATCCACATAAGGTCGTAAAATATCATCTTAAAATCATGATATAAACATCAGTTGATAACCATGCTATAATCTTATCACATCAAACGTACTGAAAAATCCATTAAAAATGTACCCTCTGACTGAAATATATAATCCGCCCCTCGGGCTAATAACTTTCGCCAAGGGCCTTTGGCCCTCCGTGAACGAAAGTCGGTCTTAAAACCTCTCATAATTAATTCTAGAACACGACAAAGGCCCCTCAGTGAACTATATGTACACGGTCGAGACCTCTTCATCCCCGGTCCAAGACCCCTCAGTGTAGTATAGAACACGGCCAAGGCCCTCAGTGAATTAAAAGAAATATATAATCACGGGTACTTTTCTGGTCGATCTCAAAATCATACCTCATATTCCAATTCACAATGTACTGTATACAATCTTTAAAATCCACATGTATCATAATAAAGATATTTCTATAATAACCAAATAATTCAAACACATAATTGCACATACTTTAACAATATATTTAATTTATAAATATTTTAAAAATATTTATATTTTTCCACTCACAGCACTATGTTCGCAAAATCAATCCGGTTTGTAAACTGTTCTGATGTTAGTATCGTCGCCTGAAATACGATATAATTTTTAAATAAACAATTAATTATTTTAAATAATTTCAATAATTAAATAAGCGATACCCAAACTTAATCATTTCACGTTTGAGTGATTTCTACAGTCTCTTTAATAACTAAAACTAGTTTTTCTTTCATCTTACTCAATTTCATAGTTTATTACACTTAACTCCTTCAATAAAATTAAATTTAATCTAACAATCTAACAACTATAAAATCAATCATAATTTAATAATAAGTAACTTTTATTTACCTTTCAAAATTGAAGAATTCAAGTCTAATAATGTAGACCGCTTATTTTCTAACAACATAGGCAAACTTTCCTTTTTTTCTTCCTCTTCTCCTTTTTTTTCCTTCTTTTTCCTTTCTCTTTTCTCTTCCTCTTTTCTCTCTGCCTCATTTTTTTCCAATAGTGTTTGTGTGTGTTTTGTGTGAATAATAGATTTTTTTTTGTTTTGTAATGAATTTGGATTGGAATGAATTTGGTGGCTATTCGCCGCGTGCCAATTCAAATTTTTTAAGTTTTTTTTGTTTGACTTTTCTTTTCTTTTTTTGATTAAGTTATTACACTTTTTTTGGCTTGTTACAAAATGGAGGACACTACCCCTTTATATAGTATTTACATAAAACTTCCAGTCCACACATTTTTTAGAGAATCCTAGACCAAATATTTACATAAGACTTTTAGACCACACATTGGACAAGATATTTTCTTAGAATACTCTAGATAGACTTTATAAGATCACATATTCTTCTTAACACATTACCACATATTTTACTTAGATATTTACATAGATTTTTCTAGTAGATATTTGTATAAAATTTTTAGATAATGTTTTTAGAATGCTAGGCATATTGGGATT